AGACGCAGGGCAGGGCAACCTTGGAAACTGCGGAAAATCGGTGTGATATATATATATATATATATTTACATAGTTATATATTTAAGGGTCACTATACTCTGTCCAATTTCTGGGTGTGACCTACCAAAGGGCCTCAGCCTAGCTATGACCATTGACGGATGATATTTTTGTCATTGAGGCGACCGAGACCATGGATGAGTTGGCCATGGAAACCAAGCGAACCGCCTTGCTGGATCGATTGGAAGGACAGCTGAAGGCGCAGAACTTCACCTCACGGCTACTCTTCTCCTTCAACTGCACGGACGATCGGAAGGTGCAACGGGCCATCGACCAGGAGTTCAGTGAGTGGAGAAAGAGCCGTTTCGAGGCGCTGAATGGGATCCTGCTCTACACACAGTCAGTGGCTTTGCATTTGTTGGAAGGCCCGACTGAGCTGATCTTCAAGGCTTTGGAGCTCTTCCATTCCTTGAGTGCCGAGATGAGAAAGGTGCCTGAAGTGCAGGTAGGCACCACCCCGCGGCCCAATGAGAAGGGGGAGCTTCCAGCCCTCCTCTCGGCCGTGCGAATACTGCACTTCACCGAACTGCATGGAGTTCGCGTGCTGCGGTCATGGAGCTCGATGGTTCATCCAGGTAGGCCCACAGGCACTCAGATGCCCATGGAAGAGGCCAACTGCCACGAGTTGGTCTTCTCCGGTTATCAGAAGATGCTGCGCCTGTGCCTCAAGGTGCAGAAGCTCTCTGAAGGTGAGGCAGATCCGGACTCCTCCCTGCCGAAAACCTACAAGAAAGCTGCAGATGAGCTGCCCAGCGTCGATGAAGTGCTGGTTCTGGTTGGGAGGACCTCGGCGGAGTTCTTTTTCACCTACCCTGAGTTTGAAAAGGTCTTCATGGCACCATTCCAATTGGTGCTGCATTCTGAATTGCTGTGGCCCATGCCGCCGGCTTTATCCTACTAGTGCGGTGGCTTGTGACTTTCATTGTGCTAGTCTGAAAATTGGTTTCACCCAGCACGACCAACGATGCCTGCTCCCGAAGATGGAAAAAGGTTCCCTCTCTCTCTCTCTGCCACTAGTGGCATCCGTTCTCCAGTGCCCTAAGTGTCCATCGAATCCAACTTCAGACTGTGCCGACTGCAAGCAGCCCGCCTGTGCTTGGGATGGTTGCTTTAAGCACAGTGATTTGTTTTTGTTTTTTTTCTTTATCCCCGTCGCTTGCGCAGGAGGTGGCTGGGCCCAGGCAGCTTTTGCAGGGGCTACTTTGGGCGGCCTTGGCCGCCTTCATCGCCCGGGCTCCCGACACTCATGGTTTCTGCTGAAGACTTGGACGATGATCGTCTTCGCATGGTGGAGCTTGTCCTGCTCAGCATGGGGTTTGGCCCATTTTCTGTTGCTTCAGGTCTACCTGCTTTGCACTTGGCAGGCGCTTGGAGCGGAGGGCTCCTGGCAAGACGGTTACCTGGCAATCGCCTACCGGCGGTTTTGGCAGCCGCGACTTGGATTGAAGGTCCGGGAAGTTTGGATCAGGTGGGCGGTGGATAACATTTAGATTCCACTTCTTGGTGCAGCAGATGATAATAGAAGTTTTCAAGTGTCAGGTGAGAAACACCAGTCCAAGGCTGGCAGGCAGGACACATTGTTTCTGGGGATTTGATGTCCTGAAGCGATGGTAGCAGGCTCTATTTATGCCAAGCATTCCTCAATGAGCGGTTCTCCTCATCGGTTTTGCGCCCGTTGAGATTTACTTGGCTTCCTTCCCATTCTCGCCAGCTTCACACCAGTCCTTCTGCACGGGCACCGTCGCTTGACCCCGAGGTTGGGGATTTGGGTTTGCATCTCTGCAGCCTTGGCCAACACCCTACTCTACACCTCTGAACTGGTGTCCTGGCAGAAGGTTTTCAAGGTTTGCTAGAATTGCCAGCCTCGTGCGGCGCGGACAACGTTGAGAAAGTCGCTTTTGTTCAGAAGAGAAGAGCTTGGTCACAACTTCGTCCTCGGGAGGTGTTTGGAAAGAGTGCAGAACTGTGAGCGAGTGATGGCTACTCCAAAGGCAATCGATATATAGCCATGCAATTGAGCTTTCTACCACAGTCATCCTACCTTTCAGTCATCCGCCACGGGTGCACATGGGAAGCGTCCCTCTCAGTCATCCGCCATCTGCCCAGACGAACGCCCAGGCTGTGGTGGCTCGCTTTTTGCAATCCCTAGGACCGAAGGGCCTGACCGACTGGTTGACCGACTGGTTCGGTCACTGTCGGAGAAGCACTGACTGGGGCACAGGGTGGAAAGCCATGAATCCCCCACATGTTTTTGTTTTTGCGCTCTGCAAGAAGTTTCCACGATAATTCTGGAGTTGAATGACTGGTTGACATATGTCAACACTTGCTATTTATTTGTCTTTATTTCCGTGCCAGAGGCATGCATGAGGATCATAGGGGGGTAATTCACTCGACTTGATTTAAGTTGCCACTGGTTTCGGAGGTCCAATCCCTCCTGTGAGGAGATAGCTCAGAGGCAATGCCGCAGCTTTTACCCAGCTGCTTTCGGAGAGAACTATCCACAGGAGACGAGGATGGGAGACGGTGATGAATCTACTGGAGGACACCACTCAGCCGGTGGATTTTTAAGGCTTCTACTTCCACCTATTCACGAAAGGCAGCTTGAGCTACCTGAGTTCTCCTTGCTTTAGCAAAAATGTATTACAATCAGGAGTTGGGATTGTGCATTGAATTTGGTCCTGTAAGAGATGATTCTGTTCGGCCCCGCCCTGGATCAAATCCCCCCTGCGCCGGTTCACGGCGTCATGGACTTCTACCAGGGTTATATACTTGTGATTGCCTGTTACCTTTCGTTCACCCCCTCCTCTCTCAAGTTCTGTTTGAGAAACATCGTCGCTCGCTGATATATATATATATATATAGAACTATATAGATACACACATGTTTCTGCACTAGGTACCCTGCGAACCAATCCTTGCAACTGGACATGTCAAAACGAAACCCTTCAGCTGCCTTTTCCGGCGAAGAGTCGCAGCTGCACGGCGAGAGGGTTGCAGCTGTGTGTGTCACATGCGCCAAACCATGGATTTGGGTCATTGAAGCCAGTAGCCCCGGCGCAGGAGCTCCCATTGTAGCGCTGCTGGTCACCACTGCGCTGCAGCTTTGCTTGCTGCTTTTGACCTTTGCGGCTCGGCACTGGTGCACCAAGCAGGGCCATGGCGCATGTACATGGCGCGAGAATGCTATGTATGCTGTCCAGAGTTCCACAGAGAATACAGTCGTCACTTGCGCAAATGTTGGGATATCATGTTTTATGATCACACATCTAGTTGAAACCTGTTGAAACCAATGAATCGCGACACCTGTTGAAACCTCGTGCTGTGCACGAACCCAGGATTACCTGGTGCAGTGCCGAGCTCAACTTCAGAGATCACAAGTCATCGGGTTCTCAATTTGGTTGCAATGAGTAACGGAGGTAGAGATTAGAAGAGATCACAGCAAGTCCCACTAGCCCCTGCGCCTGTTGCCTGAAGCAATTTGTACAGCAGAATTGAATTGACCAGGCAGCTTAGCAAGTGACACCACGTTCACAGGAGATCAACATTCTGTCCTCCAATTTCAGGATCTCATGCTATTAAGAAAGGCACACCCAACAAATTGAGGATTTGTTTCAATGGAATTCACTCAACATGGCTCGATCCAGTATCCCTTATTGGGCAAAAGACTCAACCGCTGACCCTTTCGCTCTGGCGCGTTCCTCTCGCTCATGCCGTGAAGCGGTAGCTGCCATGCCAGAAGGACGCCCAGGGCGTGTGCTAGCAGGGAGCTGAGAGGAGGATCCGAGGGCTTGCTTGGGCTTGGAGTTGTTCTGCGCAAAAACATCACCTGATATCACCTGCATATTTGCTTTTGAAGGCTGTTTCTGCTGCTTTTTTTTGGAATTTGTTGAGATTCAGGCTGGACCCTGATGTTATTCACTCAAATCTCGCCCCAAAACTACTTTCACTGGTGTTTGTCATCCTTACAGACTGATACCGTCTTTGTAGCATCTCTCCTTTTCTTGCTCCTCCACCACCACCGCACCTGCGCTGCTGACGCCCAGGTCTTGGGCGGCTGGAGTCCCGGACCCTTGGATGTGCTGCGCGCGCGGATGGAGCGCGTGGACTTCCAGGAGGTGAACATTCCAATGCCACCCAGTGGCTGTGCTTTGGCCCGATTGGTGTGGGCTAGTGTTGGGGGAGGCCGAAGGGAAATTTAGGGAATAAGTTGGTGGTGCTGGTTTGGAGGTGGGAGGGCTGGTTGTACCTGTAGAATCTGTGAAGACCTTTAAATGACCCACTTGGGACCTGGCTTCCTGGTCTAGAACCAAGGCAGATGGTGCTTGAATCCATTCTGCCCGCTCTTGCTCTTAGCAGCTCGGCTATGATATTCGTGCTCCGTCCGCAGCGGTTCAGGTCCATCTGGCAGGTTCTGTGCGCCGCCCGGGCACGACTCGGATTCTGCCAAGCAAGCCTAGTAACCAAGGCATTTGGTGTTTGGTTGCCTCCTGGTGGAAGACTCCCAAGATCAAACTCAAAATGCTAAAGTTTCTTGGTGTTTGATTGTCCTGGTGTTTGTTTTCCCTTGTTCATAGTTCATACCTCCGCTCTGCGAGCGAAAGTGCCATGACAAAACCATTAGGTGGTCTTCTGGCTGCTGCCGCTGGCCCTCACAAGCGATGAGCTGGTCAACCAGGCAGCCATGGCACTGCACACCTCTTGAGGTAAAATCCACACTTTAGATAGATGTGACATCGATGTCTGAATCCAAACAAAAAGTTGTTCTGACGCACATCTTCAGGTGGATGGTTCAATCTCCTGGCTGGTGCGGCTGGCCTCTTGTCCGCGGAAACGCGGTTTCTGGTGTCTCCTTCGTCTTGTTGGACCTCAACGCTTGATGAAATGCTCAAGGGATGGTGCCTCGGGGGCGCCGGCTGGTACCTTCTTTTCACCGAATTCCGGTCCTTCGGCCTGTTGGGTCCCCGGTGGGTCCGGAACCGCTTTTCGGACCGGCTTCGGACCGGCTGACCCCCGTGCCTTCGGAACGGAGCCTGTTTGGCTCGCTGACCCCGGGCTCCCGTGCGCCTCGTCAGGTGGCCGTGCTGGCAATCCCAGTCCTCCTTCGATATCTGGTGGCAGGCCTGGTGTGGTTTTCCATCAAAGACGCTCGGCCTGTGCAAGCGGGGTGGCCTGTGACCCATGGGTCCGACCATCGTCTTTCCATCTGCTATTAGTAGGATGACCCGACAAGATTGGAAGGTTGGTTCCGTTCTCATGTTTTTTTTTCTGCTATTGGCAGGCAATGCCATTTCATGCCATAAGCACATTCCAGACCAGCCCTCCGAAAACATGGGTTGGTCTTACTCCTTGCAAGCGTCCACTTACTTGGCAACCAATGATGTCACAAACACGGAGAATCAATGCGTCAAAGAAACGATGGTACACATGATTACGTTTGGGATGAATGCCTAGGGCCCCCAAATCACTTACTGGTCGCTTCCATTGTGTTGGACCAGGTTGAAACGAAGAGTATCTTCGAGCGCGCAGCGTGGCGAACTCTGATCATCCCAAGATGTTTGTTTGTGAGCGGATGAAATCTAGGAATCCCTGTTTTGGTTTGCTCGCACGCGAAGGTTCACGCGAAGGAGTTGACGGTTTCGGAGTTGCTGTTATTCCCCATCCTTGCCGCGGTGAAAACTGATCCCAGCTCATATCTATATATATATATACATAGATTGGGTCTGTCCCATTTTACCTGCAGTTGGTAAGCAATTCTCACTATTTTAGAGAAAGGCCTTTGCTAACCATCGTCATCCACTGTACCGTTATATACCCAACACATATACATACACACACATACATTAGACATACGTGTTTAGACATGGGAATGGCACTAATTCGCCGGTCACTTCGAATCCCACCTGCCTGTCCCCGTCCCACCGTCTTCACGCCGCGCCGAGGATGGGCTCTGGAGCACCAGCCGCGCCCTCCGCGACTTCGAACCCGATGCGCGGTGATCCGAATGCGTCCGATGTGTGTCATGTAGGCTCTTGATTATTAAACCCCCCATGTCAAGAGCTTTTTCGATGGCGGGTTTTTGAATCGAGAGTCTACATTATTATAGATCATAGGGAGAAACCCTGAGACCCTGTAGACCGGTCTTTGTTCCTTTCCCTTCGTTTGAGGGGGACCGGAACGCCTGGGAGGTCTCCCTAGTGGAAGTCACACCCAAGTGGGGAGCTTTTGGGTGATGGGATTCAGGTGGAACATGATGCAAAAGATAATGGACACAGTCTCGTTGGGAGATCGCTGAGGACCATGGGTGCCAATTGAAGAAACATCATCATTGAACCTCTTCCATTGCTTCCAGTTGATACCAATAGGAAGCTGGTCCATATACAGCTGCTAATTGACCCAGCTGCTATGTTACGCTCTGATTGGGTACTTCCCGAGGTCCACAGGGGTCCACCACGGCGTCGGTCCCGTCTTCTCGAGGTGGTGCTCGCCTTCTCATGGGGTGGTGGCCTGGTGTCTGGGCGAAGTGACTGTCGCAGTTTCATCGAGGGATTGTGGGAGTCACAACCCGAGCCCGGTTGAATCAATTGAAGTTATATATATATATATATATTATATATACACATAGTTGCCATCGTCGATGCGGGGCGCCTGGTGCTTTCGTTGCTTTTTCGCGTTCTAAACTTGGGTTTGTCTTCTTGCGGGTTAGACTCGGTTAGGCACACGTTTTGGCCACATGCATGCTTTTTTGGCGCAGTCAAGACATGCCGCAGCCCTTTGTTTCTTGGTTTTTTTCAGGTGCGCCTCGTTGGTTCTTTTGTTGCCGTTGGCGGGTTTTGTGGACATAGACGAGGTACCCCCGGTTCTTCGACCTTGGTTTCGTGGTCACCGGGTTATCTGGACGACTTGACTTTAGTTTGGTGTAAAGTTCGTAGTGAGGATCCTTCGGTTGGTTTGACCATCGAAAGAATCCGGTCCACCTATTAAAAAATACGGGGTCCCCCCCTAATAAGCAAACCTCGGTCGCATACTTTTAATAGGGGGTCCCTGAAATCGGGGTGGTCCAAAATAGGGTAACCTGGGAAGGGCTTCAAAACCAAAAAGTCACCCAGGAAAATTTTATATAAAATCATTTCTTAAACTCATATCAAAAATTCAACAAACCTCCAGATCGAAGGTCTTCCTTTTCCCCCTGCAAAAACCTTTATTGGAATAGATGTTCTTCATTAGGCTAACAACTAAAGCTTTCGAAAGGTGATGTCGCTGTGCCATGCGGTTTTGCGTGACCTCGGTGGAAAGTGCGTTTGCGTGGGTCCGTGCCATTGGGGGAAGGAAAGCCTGCTGGTGTAAACAGAGCGTGTCATGGTGGATAGACAGGGTGGACAGAGGTGGGTAGTTACGGTTGTGTTTGGGGGACCCAATTAAAAAGCTCCTCCAAAATCGGCAATGTTGGTAGTTTAGTAGCGGCTTGAAAGGGCGGTAATTTAAAAACGGATATAAACCGTATTTAGGGGTTTCCGACATGACACTCGGGATTGGTTTTGGACCAGGACCGTGGGTGTTTGGATTTTCAAGGTTTGACGGACTACTCAGAATTTGGCGTTGTTGGTTTTTTCCATCGATACCAGCCTGGTGGTCGTGTTGCGCGGGAACATCTACCCGCTGAAGAATGACCCGTCCCTCGCGGAGCGCCTGGCGCAAAAAACGTCCGGTGGATCCGCCAAAGTCGCGCACTTGACCTCGGGGTGGCGGCAGACCATGCCCTCTTGACTGCGGTTGCTACCACTCTATCGAACACATACTACATAATTTTGACATCTAGCCTGAGCTGAACCTTTCCATTTGTCCCTGCGTGCTGCTAGACATACATAACCTTAGCTGCACACTTTGTCTTGGACTACAGCTCGGGCGCCTGTCCTTAGCAAGCTGGCGCCCTGGTGGTGGTTACAGACCTCCTCCACACCACTGCGCACCGGTAGCCTTGCGTGGCGCGGTGTTGCGGCCACCCGTCGCAACATGTGGAACCGCGCGGATGGAGACAGAGCAAGAAACAGTAGCTGCGCTGCCCTCGCGCCTTGTTCAGCCTTCAAAGGACTTCTCCTCCGAGCCAGAATTGTTCTGCATTCTGGCGTCGTGTTCTTCTTGTTTGCAGGATGCGATTTTGTTTTCACCGTTGGCTCCCAGCGCCTCGGGCTGGTTCCACCATCGAACGTTCTGTGTCAGTTTCGCCCCCTTTAGGACGTTGCCCCTTCGCCGTGGCGACAACTGCGCCGCCGGCCGTCACTCCAGGAGATGGTCCACCAGCTTCGGGGGCTCCAGCCGCACCTACGGCATCGCAGGAGTCTGCAGCTAGGC